CATGTCCCCTGGGCATCCTATAATGCTCCTTAAAATTAAATTAATTCAATATGGCCACCGTATCAGTAAAAAGGTCTATTAATACCCTTATTTGTTCAGCTGTTGATAATAATAATGTTATTGAGGACAATCACCTGTCTTTTTCCTTCATTTCCCAATTTATTTTTGTGCATGCTTCACAGCAGGTATGTCAATGCCAGAAATTTCAAACCTATTGAATATATTGGGTGGCAACAAGCTACCTTAAACTTCGAGGACACTTTGGAGATTCTTGCTGATCTCAGAAAGGGTGTTCTTTGAAGTGCAGTGCCAACTCTATCCCAGAATTATTTATGTTTTTTCAGTTAAACCTCCAGTTTCTTCAGAATCGTACCCACTGCTCCAAAACAAAAGGGGCAACATTTACACCCTTCATCTTCCACATTTAGTATCTTCACGCCACGATGAAGATACTAAGTCTTGTTGACTATACTTGTTGTAGATCTCTTGTTCGATGTCCACCCTTTTGTCACAAGGACATGCAATATCAGTGATGAGGCAATTTTTGTTCTGTTGGTCCACACACATGATGTCAAGGCGATTGTGATCCAGTTTCCTTTCTGTTTATATACAGAAATCCGAAAGAAATTTGAAATTCTTATTATCCTTAACATCACAATATTATTATTACAGGTATCATTATTATTATTGTTGTTGTTGATGTTGTTGTTATAAGCAAGGGTTGTAAAAGAAGTCATACACATGTACAAAAATAAACTACCTTAACCACTATTTTGGGCACTAATTTGGGGTAATTGCTCACTTTTTTCAATGACTGTGCTTTGCAGATTTTAGTAAAACAGATGAAGGTGCGAACAGATGGTTAAGGAGACCCTGCATCAGCTAGATGCCAGCTCCTTGGTTAATTCTTCCAAACCCCAGAGTTCAAGGAGATCCACCTACAAGCCAACCACCCTTTAGTTCACCTGCATGTCAATTGTCGTCGATTAGCAAGGAACTTGTTGCTACACAAGTACATCCACTTCCACTGCAGCCTCCCTCCCCACATTCATTTTACTTTAAGGAGTGGCAGTGATGATGAACATAGGATGGAGAATGGATGGATTAGTCTCTAGTTGTTGCCATTATTTTACTAAATTTCATACCTTCACTTTGAATTCTGTTTTAATTTTTGAAAAACCTTTTTTTTTTCAGAAAAAATTGAAATGTTTTGAAATCACTCATTCTGAAAATTCCTATCAACCTTGCATTTGTACCTTGTATATTTCTTTGAATGAATTGTCAACATGTCCGAACACTTTTTAGAGTTTATTAACTGACACAACTTTGAACGTTTTCCTTTCAGAATTATCAAACTTTGTTCCTGTATTTGAACTTTGAAATAAATGATGTTACACGATTTAAAACCTTTGTTTTTCCCTCATGCGTAGAGAAATTAGTTAAAGTGAATAAGAATGGGGCGGTGATAAAAATGGTAGAATGGTCGGAACTGTTAAAAATCATTTTCAGTATAATACTGCAACCCCGCAAGTAAGTCCCTGAAATGCAATGATCATGAAGTGCAATGCTGACCAGGAAACATATCGTGAGGTATCAATGGAGTAAAATGGGAGCATCACTTTCATGCATGGAAATTGAAAGTATCGTCGAATTTAGTACAATAAACGTGTTGCAATTTTCGCGTATCAGGGAGTTTTGCCACGATTTCAACATCGGTAATTTCATGAACCGTGGAATTCCAGTGGTGTTTGAGTCCCTGGTATTTCACGTACCATGGAATTTCGGGCAAGTGAAAACACCGGAAACTTCACGTATCGTAGAATTTCATCGCATTCTACAGAATAAAATCTTCACGTTTCGTGAACATTTGGAGTATATATTAGGATAACACAATCCGTAGCGTGGAATTTTAGTGAAAATGAGAGGCAGAAATTGTAGCGTTACTCAACGGCACTCCATGATTCACAGCAAATCTAGAAAAATGAGGACGTTTACAGGTCTTGACACACCGCGTTTCAATGAGGTGTCCGGATATCGGATATTCCGTGCCGTGGAAAAAGTTCGATTCAGGAAAAATACGGGTCCTGATACTCGATGAAAACGCTGCGTGTGCGTAACCCGATACCTATCCATACTTCCGTTTTTCTAAAGAATACGGGTTCGTATCGACTAATATCGGGACCATGACACGACTCATTTCACGCAGTGGCTTTCCCACACTTTGTGATTGGTTTAGTTCTTCTGCTTCTACTTGCGTCTCCGACGACCCAGTTTTCACTTAATCGTAACGATGGAGTCGTAAGCGGAATCAGAACGTTGTTTTCACTAGATCGTAAAGATCTACGCTTGTGATTACAACTCCCAATCCGACTCCGTCGCTAGTGTAAAACCAGCCTTAAAATTAAATCTCTGCTTTGGGCCTTTCTCTCGCTTAACAGTTGCTACAATAGTAACCACAAGCTCAGACTTCAGTTACAGGGCGTTTTTTTTACCCACTCCATTATTTCGGGCACGTTAAACATCCGTTTATAATGCTCCACCAAGAGCGGAAACTTCTCAAGTTCTCCAAGAATATTTTCCTTACCCTTCGAAAGAAAGTTGTTAAAGAACTCAAAGAAAGTGATGTCGGCATAGCATCGGATAAGAAACAAAAAGAAATCGTAGTTACGCTAGAGGCGTAGGATTGGGGTAACCTTTCTTTTGCGTGTGATAAGCCTCAGGCTATGTTTTAGGCTATATTCACACTATATAGCTGGATAACAACAGTTGTGATTGATATATCATGTATTGGTGAGTAATAACAGGGGGAGGGGGATTTAAAAGAGAGGAGGGGGGGGGCGGTATTCACTTTCTTCCCCTGAAAAGGATGAGCTTATTAGAGAGGGCAGCCTGCGAGCAAGCTCTCCATTTGGGGGATATCGCAAACTTCGCTCGCCCAAATAGGAGAGCTTACTCGCAGGCTGGAAACTCACGTTTGCAGTTTGCCGTTAACGCGATGCTTAATCTCTCTAATGAAGAGCTTCAAAAAGCAGTAAACGAATATCCATCGGCGCTGCCTGGAGAGGGGCCCTAAAACAAGGTAACGTATCAATTTTGAGGGTGATAAGTCTAAAGAAAACGACAATATTGCTCCACAAAGTCCACACAAAATTGTACAGACTTTCGTATGGTAGGGAGAGGGTAACCATTTAACAGCTTTCCAGGTCAGCACTAGAGGTATCAGTAGAAGTTTCCACTAAAAGGCAATCAATGACTATATGTGGCTAGTGCTTTGTAGAATATTACATTTAAGATAAATCAATGTTGTATAAACACGATAGTCGGTCATTTAGGAAATAAACTTCCTAAAGTTTTGTAGGTAATGAAATTATATTTCAAATTATTATGTTTAAATCAAAGAGAATGTATAAAAGACTGTCAAGGCAATAATAATTGAGTATGATAACAAATTAACCGAGAAAAGTTGTATAATTACCCTTTAATAATTCGCCAAATTTGAGGGAATCCGGATTCCAGAATCCGGGGAACCTTTCGTTAAGGAATCCTGAATCCGGGAGATTTTGCTTATAGAATCCAGAATCCTGGGCCAAGCTCCACTGACAAAGACTGGAATCTAGTACCTGGAATCCGGAATCCACGTCGTGGAATCCAGAATTGAAGACTGTCCTGGATTCCCTTACATGCGGTGAAATAATATACAGGAAAAAAATTTACTGGATCACAATTCGTCGCCAAAACACATGCCAGTGTCACGCGCGACCTTAAAGTGGTTCTTCAGTCTTTCTTTTACTGTTTATTAGCCAACCTTTAGTTCTACATTCCTCGACATACTTTCATTTTATTTCCTTCCTTTGCATTATACTTTCTCGTGTTTTGCTCTGTTAACTAAAAACTGCATTGCTCCCGGCCAATTAGATTCCAGAACATGTATATTAATTCATAAAGAACTAACGTTTGGTCTTGTTAAATTTTAGTGCGGGCCCATTGTTTTTGCGCAATAATCATTTTCCGCTGAAGTTCTAGTTTCAACTGCTGCCGCAGTTCATCTTCCTTTCGTTTAAAACTGAGCTCCAAGGCATTCTTTTCCCCTTCGAAAATTTTGGCAAGTTCATGTTTTTGAATTCTCAAACTATCAAGACCTTCTTTGAGGACTTCAATGCTCTGCAGCAGATAAGCTCGCTCAAAAGAGTACTTCGATTCACATTCGTCTTCCACGACTTTGCGCAAAGAGGCTTTCTCCAGCTGAAATCTTTCTGAGATCGCAGCTTTTTCTCTCTCAAACGATCCTAACAAGATTTCTTCTTGTTTCCGCAGGAGAGTCAATAGTTCACTGTTGTTCGCTATATTAAAGACGTTGTCAAAGCAACTGCTTGCAGTTCCATTCGCCGTCGACAAGTGCGAGAATAGTTTGTCTACGTACAGTTTGTATTCCAAGACTTTTGTTTGAAAACTAAAACTACCTGTATAGAGGGTCCACAATAGGTTTGGCGGGATGCGGGATTTAGCTATTTTTCGTGGTGATATTCGGGATATGAGCTGAAAACAGAAGCGGGATGCGGGAATTTTAACAACCAGCGGGAGCGGGATTTCCTATTTTTGTGGGGATGGGATTCGGGAATCGTAAGGAAAAAATAGCGGGATACGGGAATTTAGTTTTGTCTTTACTAAAAATTCATTAGCGTTCACTGAAAAAAAATGGTTCTTAAGTGTGTATACCGCCTTTGTAGTCAAGCTATGAGTGTCAAAGGAAGTGAAGCCTGTCAAATTTTGCCCATTATCACCTTTGTGTGTTGTTCTTCTTTTCCGGTTTTACTATTTTCGTCGTTTTCGTCACTCGGAAAGAGGTATCAAATCACTGAGGTTAGAAGTCACGTTCGTTAAGATCCTGCACTCATTCCTGTTTTGTTGACCACCTTTTCTGCTTTTTCCTGGACGGACCTGTCGTACCTGGACGATCCTTTGGACCGAGCGTTTGCTATTAAAGTAAGTCTGGCCACAGTATGGCCACACCAGAGCTGATAGAAGTGGACAATGTGGTAGACATCATAAATTGTGTGGCTTTATATTACGAGAAAGGTGCCAGTGGTAATGCTTTTCTTCGGAAAGAAAAATTTAGATGTCCGGTCTCAAGGCAAGTGAAGAGCTTGAAAGCCTTAAAAGAAACAGTCAGGTGAGTCGACCTGAGTTTACTGCTATCCATTATTTATTGTTTTCAATGACCTCATTATCCTTGTGTTAGATCTATTATAACCTGGGATATCAATGGCATTTGTGCCCCGCGCTATGCTCGGCGACTAAAGTGGTCTCACTACCTTGCGAAAGTTATTGTCAATATTGACGGCAAGTTAAGGATCGTTAAGCCTAAGTTTTTTGTTTTTATTTCATTCCTGATTTCAACCTTTCGCCTTTGGCAACATACAGTCGACTCCCGGTCTCTCGAACCATCTATAATTCGAACCTCGCTAACTCGAAGCAATTTTCATTTCCCTTCAGATTCTATATAATTTTACCCTCGATAACTCGAACTCCCTATAACTCGAACTTTTTCCTATTTCCCTTGAAGGTTCGAATTATCGGGAGTCGACGTATACTATTCTAACCGGAGAAGGTGGACCTTGGAATAAAATGTATACTTAAAAATGACTCTATAAAGACTATATTAGTTTATAATCAGACCATACACGCATCAGTTGTCTTAATATGATAGATAAAGATACATTGTGTCCCGTGTCTATTTTCTTTAGTCAATTTGGAGGGATTCGCGATGTTGCAAAAAATATTGGGCTTGGAAACCAAATCACCATCAAACTGGCCAGGCTGGATAAAAGTGATAGCAAAGGTGCTCAGTGCTTTGCCATAAACACCGATGGGCAAGTTACCCTTGAGCTGCCGTCCATAAGGGCAGGGACAGATATGTTACAATGTAAGTGTTCATCAGTTTCACCGTTTATTTCCTCTTAAAACGAGTGCTGAGTGTTTGTTACTATTGTAGACATTGTAGTGTATATCACCCGGATTGTAGACTATGTCAGTATCCTAAAATGCCGGTTTTTCTCACAACTTTTTTCAAGTGTGTCATTCAACCATAAAATATCGGCGTGTTAAGATCGTCAAGATCGAAGGGCGTTGTGAAAATTTGTCATACCTAACCAGTCGCTACTGGACGACTTACCATTTCTTTATCATAATTTTGTCAACTTCATTTTCAGTAATTGTGTATCCCATTGAAATTGCATTTGCCACAAGTTCGCAAAGAATTGTTGTCCAGGTGAAAACAGTGGAAGGGTCAAGTGCTCCGCAACCAACACCTGCCCCTGACGACAACTCACATGTCACACTTACAGAGGAAGAAAAATTAAAGCTAAACGAAGGTAAAAAAAGATGTGAACTTCGATTTTAGTATTTCAGATTGAATATCAAATTCAGTTGTGTTATAAGAGTAACTGTGAAGAGCATTGCATGCCCGGAGGGTCAGGAAGCCGATACTGACCACATATTTACGGTTGATATCGTTATTTCCAGATGCTTTTGAAAAGTCTATTGACTTATGTGTTCTGTATCTGTATAGCCTTATCACAGCTATAGTAATGAATAAATGATTGTGGGAAAAAGAGAAGTTACGTTTAAAATGAACGTTAGAAATAACTTACGCTGCAAACATCAATTTGTTTTAAAGCATTGGGAGCATAAAATGACAAGCTGTAGCATAACATTTCGTTGTGATTATTATCCTCAGCTGTCAGCCCTTATGTGATTCTTTGCTTGTTTGGAGAGTTTGTTAGAAATTGAAGCTGAATAATTTATGCAGAAATAGCATTCCGTTTTCTTTTATTGCCTTTTAGAACTAAAAGATTTGAGTGACAGCAAGCTAGTTGAGGGAACGGCGGAAACAGTTTACAAAAAAAAGAAGAAAGTTACATGGGCCTGGAAAATCCAATGTGGTGTGTGCAGCAAACACGTTCAACTTCGCATAGATGGGGCTCAGGCCGGCCGCATATCTTACTTTAAATCCCGTAAGTGATCAAAACAGTAACTGATTTTATAGATAGTTAACCATGCATACGATACAAAGTCTTATTATTTTTGATTGTCTAAACAGTCTGCAAACCGTGCAGAATTTACACAAGGGATAGCTATCGAGTTAGAAACCACGTTTACGGTTAACGGCAGACCTTAACTTGAAAAGTAAGGAAACTGCAGGTATCGATTAGCAAGTAACCAACAGGTGTTTCGGAGAACGCCCATGTTTGTTTAATGACAACCCTGTCAACACGGTTGCAGTCTTGTCCCTTGAATTGCTTTAACGCCTCTGTATTGACTACATTGGTTATTCAGCAAGGCTAAGACAGACAAGACATACTGTATCATTTCCAAGAACGTGTTTTTTCACTTGCCTTGTAAAGTATGATAAAATTTAGAATTCCAGTTGACGATACCTAACAATCCTAACAGTACTGTAATATTTCTTTAGACCATTTCAATACTTGCCAAAGCCGGAAATCAAGAAAGCGTCCACAAGCCCAGAAACCTTTGACTTCTTTCTTTGCAAAGAAAGCAAAAGAGGCAGACGTACAAGCTCCAGCTGCTGACTCTGATGTCGATGGTTCCGATACAGAGACCCACACAGAGGATGAAGTGGTGGATCAAACAGAACATCAGTAAGTTTCAAATCAAGGATATCAAGGATGTTGGACTTCACTGAAAACAACTGTAAACTGTGAACAGCCGCAGAATTTATTCAAAGCTTTCTCTTCTTTCTCACTGTCTTGATGTAATTTCATGTCAATTTGGATTACTTGTTAAGTTTTATGTACATGTGTACAAAAATAAAAGCGAGATATATAATGTTTTCCAGCCTATGCGTTTTTTTTCTCTCGTGTATTGTTCAGTTCAGACATTGAAGCCGTTTCTGACTCCGAGTCCCAAAGTGTAACAGCATCTCGAAGTGAAGACAGCCAAAGAGAGGTGGAAGATAGTGATGTTTGCAATGACTCTGAAAACGAATCTAGTGTAACCTCAGAATGCCAAGATAAGGATTGGCGACTTGTTTGCAGTTGGTGTAGAAAATGCTGATCCAGTTTGTGTTAAACTAAATGACTTGATCCAACGTGGTAAAGTATCGAAAAATCAAATATTGTACAAGCACTTAAAAGATGTCATCGAGATGTACCATGACCCAAGACATGAATATGACAAGGAAGTGATCGAGTTTTTTAATACTTTATCTTACCTTGGAGGACGTCGCACTACAAACATGATTCGAGGGCCAATGTTTGCCGGTGAGGGTAGGGGAAGCTTCCACAGTACTGATAAATGTCGTATCAATTTAGGTGGTCCTTCTGAAGAAACTTGTAGGAAACAACAAGCAGGGTATCAGAAACCTTTTTGAAGCTCTCTTTATCGGAAAACGGTTCTGAAGTTCAACCGCTGATCGACAATGATATCCTCAGAGTATCTCCGTGTGTTTTAGCCAACGACGGCACAGCTTTAAAGCCTGCTATCCAGTTTGATACACGAACCAAAAAGAATGTAGGCCTTGATTTTGAAGTCGATGCTGCTTATGTCCGTGAGAATCCAGAACCTACTCCTGAGTTTCTCAGCGAGCACATCATATCGGAAGTGCTAGTATCATCGGTCACCACATTAGACAACAGTTGTGGGATTCCGTGTGCGGTCCACTACGTGACTAAGAGAGGGAAAACTGGAGAAAAAATGAAAGCCCTCTTTGAAAAGCAATGTAAACTCCTTCAGATATGTCAGTCATGCCAAGCAAAATGCCCTTCAGTTGACAACATCCTCACTGAAGACGCAATCGACCTATGTAAAAGTTTGTGCGGTGCTTGCTTTAATAATAAGAAAGTCTGCGACGCGTGCAAAGCCCAGGGTCACACCAGTTACTATCCTAGTCTTCGATCATGTCAGAGGTGCATGGAGTCAGGAAAAAAGTGTATAAAAGTGGTTGTCCTTACCTTCATTGTAGATTGTGAAGAACGAAATAAAAAGGCGATGATAGAGATGAAAGATAATTTAGAGAATGACACTGTGGACCCTGAACTCGCTTTGTGTGTTCCCCTTCCTGACAGTCTTCACGTTGGCAAGAGTCTTAAAGCAAGCTTTGCGGACTGGTATCTGAAACTGTCAAACGAAAGAGGCAATTTATCGATTCTAAAAACCTTGCGTAATAAAGCGGATCCGGAGGTTCGAAAAAAAACGCGTAAATTTCTTCCGCGAAACGACTACGTTAGAAACAAAGATCGACAGGATCCAACTTCTGTCATGAAGCTCACAAATCCAGATTTTACTAGCTATCTTAGACGTCTAGACTTTGTTGGCCACACCATCATTCCCGAGACTGACCGTTTCACAGAGCACAACAAAGTGGGTATGTACCCAAACCCCATAAGCATCGCTACTGGTCCCTACGGAAACCTGTTATTTCTCTCACTTAACACAGTCACTGGTTTATCGAGTCTTTTTATGGCACAACTTCATAACCCCGTCCAAAAAATTGTAAAGCTTAAAGAAGATTTTCTCGCCAAAGAAGTCCACCACGTCAATGGCATTGTATTCATGGTTGGGAAAGGAGGCCCCATTATTTTTTATAAGCTAGAACAAGGGGCCGTGCGTGTTAACTTAGGAAAACTGCGTGCACGAGAAGATGTAGTTCAGAAAGCCAGTGAGCTTGGACTATCTACTAATGGAACCGTGGCAATATTAAAGAATCGAATCGCCACGCACGTTAAGAAGATCGCGGCAGAATACCAAGAAAGAGGGCTTTCTCCTACTGCTATCAATTTCTGGAATACTTCAGGCGAGGAATCTCAGTTTGAGGCACTACACGTCGTAGATCCCTATCTGATGTACGCAGCATGTAAAAGCAAGCACCAAATTTTTGCCGTTACCTGCTCCAGCGACGGACATGGGCTTCGAGGAGAAGCGGCAGCAGTTGTAGAGTACCAAAACGAATGGGGAAACGTCGGATCGATGGCCATCTTAAATAGTGACATTTATATTTCGCACCGTCAAGGCATTGAGAAAGTTTCATTATCAACATATTTAAGAGCACGGATTATTTCTTCCGGTCCAGACTACTGTTCTTTGGCTCCTCCATTGCGGTTTACAAAGATGGTTTGGTCTACTCAGATCCGCAATCGCATCGCATCCTGCACTGGATCAGAAATGAGGAAAGAGTGAAGGTGTTTGCAGGTACCGGTGCAGAGGGCACCAGAGATGGCTTGGCTTCGCGTGCTGAATTCTACCAACCTGCTGGACTTTGTGTGGAATTTGACCATGTCTTGTATATATGTGATGCCCGAACCAACTGTATGAAGGTATTCACCACTCTGCATGAAACCGCTGCATTTCTAGATGCAGTCGGAAAGATATACAAGGCTTTATCCGTCCACGAGAAGCATGCAAAGTACGAGCTTTGCAATCTACAAGATGCCGTTACACTGCTTAAAGAAACGTTACAATATCTTCGCCGAAACGAGGCCTTGATTCGCGGTGAAATCCAAAGCTTGCCAAGGTCCCTTAATGGACCACAGGGAAATGTGGCTGAGAAGACATTAGAGTCTGTTTCATTGTTGCAGTCCGGCCATCAGAGACTTTATGACCTGTTAGCGCCAATGGGTTATACTTGGACCAACCTCCTGAGCTGCATGACAGATGTAGAGAACTGTCATTCTGTGGTCCATCACAAATCACCTTTATGCACTGCCCTTGAATATGCCAGGAATTTCGGAAACGCTGTTAAGGAAAGTGTAAAGAAGACAACAAACTGGGCGGCATTTTATTATACCAACCCAAAGTCGTGGTATCCCGTTCCAGACCGCGCAGCGGAACTCATTGAAATTTCATTAGCACCACAACTTCCACCTGGGGTAATAAGTGCCCAAGACGCCCAGCTTATGAGGGAATGGGCACATACCTTTGGGGCTGCAGTTCGTCAAAGAACCGTCCGACAGGAAACGACCATGGCTAGGGCTGGAACGCTCCCCGATTTCTTGTACGAGAAAGACATTGTGCCAGGAGAAAGCGTTGACCTAACAGGAGATGTCAGCCTTCCTGACGAATATGATACAAGTAGCAGTGCGGAAGAAGAAGAAACCGAAGACCAAGTAGGAGAACGATCTGTAAGGGTCGCCACTTTGGATGGTGAAGCAAACTTCCTGCTTGGAAGGGTGTCTGCATTTGGTTAGCTGTTAGATTTAATAGCAGGATTATATTTTCTTAAAAGAGACCAGTGTCTTTATATACAATTTCCATGTCCTACACTCCATGTAAACAATTGACAGAATTGGCTTCATCGCCTGATGGAAACTAGCAGCAAAGCAATCGAATCTTCGTGAGACAAACAGATAACATCAATCTACCTAATTCCAAAAATACTGGACTTAAAGTATCGAGGTAAACATGTACCGACGCGATGACGAAAAAATAATTAAGCAAAACAGAAAATAAAGTTATGGTCGCTAATTGTGATGTTGAGAACCTGGACCATCAAAACTGACAATTGCTAGAAGGTAAGTCATAACGCCTATTTCAATGATCATGCAAAAAAAGGCAAAAATCTCGTAAAAAAATGGGGCGGGATCGGGATCCGGGCGTAAAAAGGAGCGGGATGGCGGGATTGAGGAAAAAAAAAGGGGGGAAAGCGGGATTTGAGAACCCCTATTGTGAACCCTCTGTATATTATGCAAAGTAATTTGCGTAATACAGATCGAAACCTTCGACCCCTGGAGGTCTAAGACAATCTCGCTTATAAAACTTTCATGACGTTTTACTTTGCAAGCGTATCACCTTCATTTAAATTTCTGTTCAAATATTTTGTTTAGTTCCCAGGGGTCCCACTCACGTATTTTACTGACGGGGGGGTCCGAAGGATNTGCAAAGTAATTTGCGTAATACAGATCGAAACCTTCGACCCCTGGAGGTCTAAGACAATCTCGCTTATAAAACTTTCATGACGTTTTACTTTGCAAGCGTATCACCTTCATTTAAATTTCTGTTCAAATATTTTGTTTAGTTCCCAGGGGTCCCACTCACGTATTTTACTGACGGGGGGGTCCGAAGGATTTTTTTGGGTCTGACATTTTGGCCAAAAGGGATTTTTTGGGGTCTATGAAAGACGCCGGGATTTTTTTGGGTCGCGAAAACAACACAGGGATTTTTTTGGGTATTGTATTTTCCATCAGCTCAAATCAACAATAAAAAATCAACAATAGAAGTTCAAAGATCAAATGAAACAAAACACAAGTCCCACATTTTAGTCACTGGGTTGAATTCAATGGTTCACAAGGCGAAGGTGATCAAGCAGCTTACCCAAAACAAAAAGGTGTCTACTGATCGCCTCATTCGCATCCAACAAGCCCAAGAGCCACAAGAAAGCGAGTCTGACGATGGGGTTGATGTCGATGGTCGCAGTAATATTGGACTATGGGACGATGTTGTGTTTGAAAGTGAGCTGCGATATGATGATGAAAGACCCTACCGCCTTGCCCAAGTACTTCGGATGTGCTGTCTCACATCAACAAGGAGAAGAACAGAATATGTCAAGCCAGTCAACCTCCATCATGACAGTGTGAAGAACATACAACTTTTGGTCAAGCCCTACAAAGTGTTCCATGATCATGTGTTTGCAAGATCCAGTGTAACAGAGGAAGTCAGCATCTCTGATGTCATCAGTCCAGTTTCTCTGACTAGGAGGGGGAAAGAATTTCAGCTTTCACTAGCCGATGCTACTTACCTAGAAGCATATTTCCCATTGGACAATTATGGTGACACCTCGGAATACATGGCTGATCCAACTTTCCCGGACTCGAACAGGGCGACTTAGGCGAGCGGTTGTGTACACCGCACATTAATCACGATTAATAGATCCGGTTTTTACTTTCCAATGCTGTTTGTAAGGATACAGTTTGGCTTGAATTTCTAATGAACAGTGTATTAATTTTCAAGTTTTATATTTGATACAGTTGAGTTGCCCCGAGTTGCTATATTTCACCACACTCCTATGTAATATAACACGCCTGGTGAAACACGATTTGGTGTGTATGGATGTGTTCTATACCTGGTGGGAATTGTCTGTCCACCTTTTGAGATATCAGTTGCACAAAAACATGGTGAAAAGTCTGATGCCACGAGGTTTGTTACATAGGGATGTTTCGGTACAATAGCAAGCAAAGAATGTGCTAAGGACAAGACATGTAAAGTTGTCGCAGAAGATAGGATGAAGAGACACTATAACAGTCATGCAAGCTTTTTGTATTTGTTTTTGTATAGTTTTGTTTTTGACCAAAACCAAAGTTGAAGTTGGCATGTTTTAGCTTTCCAGAAGATAAATAATAAAATTTGCTGGTGCAAAAACACTGAGGGATTTTTTTGGGTATGCTAAAAAAAGTAGGGATTTTTTGGGCAGACAAATTCTGAAGTTGGGATTTTTTTGGGTATAAAATATGAACCTCCGTCGTACGCCCCCGTCATTAAAATATGTGAGTGGGGCCCCTGGGGTTTAGTTAGTCTTTTAATGAATAAGACATCGATTGACGCAACCAGTCAAGAGTGAACAGAAACTCTTGTTTTTTGATCTCGTCCTACATCGAAACACTGTTTTGGTGCTACCTTAGTTGCATTTCAGCCCGATTTCAAGTTTGAGATCGTTTAAAAACTCCCCAAATTGGCCAATGTCCAATTTAATCATAGTTGTCGCAAATATAGCAAAAGGCGCCCTTCAACTTGTACCGTACCACACGTAAAGATGTCGAATTTGAGTTAAACGTATTTAGTAAACATTTCATTGGAATTCTTCTTAATTACAATCAAATTAAGACAAGAATTATTCGGCCTATAAGCTTCCAAATTGTGCTGCCTAAATTGCCACTGATTACGACGGTTTCTCTATAAAGTAGGCGCAAAGGACGGCGGGAAGGTAAATAATGGAGGAACGTCTCCCATTGTGGGAATCTAGTCGACACGGGATAATTGGGGGCGAAATCATTGCAAGCATAGTTAATATAAAGAAGAACAATAGAGCCAGCCCCATTCCGTCAAGTCTAGTCCCGTCTCAGAATGGAAGGCGTTAAATGACATCTATCGATATTAGTTTTAGTGCCCAGCGGTTTGGAGGGAAAACATAGAAGGTACGAGGTGTATGGGGATGTCTTTGAGGGCAACTAAAGCGTTTGAGGGTAATATGCGTTGGTACATTTTCGTTCTCATACAATACGTAAATACTAAAAGCCTTGGTGCCCAGTGGTCATGTTAGTCTTGCGGACTCATAAATCTGTCATGTTATTGCAAGTATGATTTTTCCTGCTTTACTTATTTAAAAAAAAAAAACGGCTTATACGTACTGAATTTGCAGAAAATATGAGATTGACAGCTCTGACTCGCTGAATCAGAATGGAAGTAGCTGCTCACTATTAATCTTTATTCGATGTACAATTCCAGTGATCAGCGGAGATTTCTTAACACGATGGAATGCGATCACCGTGGGAAAGGGGAGGGAAAAAGGACAATTTTGAGGTATTTCATATTCCTGGATAGAAGTTTTTCTTAAAAAAGTTTTAGGCTAGCTAATAGCTCACGAAGGAACCACCTTCATGCTCAACCTTTCAAGTTAAGGCGAGACTGTATGTAAATTTTATTGCCTTACGTAAATATAATTTTCTCGATTCTTTTTTTGTTGTTGTTGTTTCTATGCTGTAACGATTCTAAATATCATTCCTTTAAGGACGTTTCAGTCAGGAATGTTGACTTTTTAGAAAAAGCTGTTCCGTCTCCAGTTTTCTATATCCTGCTATAGGTTTACATGGTGTACAGAGTTTATTTTATGAGTGTTCGTTTGTACTAAAGGATTCACTTATTTGCTTTGTTGACCGCGGGAAAGGGAATAGGACTGGTATGTACGCAAGGATTTTCGTTTCATGAATTTTACAACTTTTTGCCTAATTTTTATTCTGGTTGTTTTTTTTTTTGGACAACTTTTTTTTACCCTTTTTTCGTGTCCCACTCATGCGCGACTTCTCACAATGAGCTTCCTCGCAGGCTACTGTCAGGGGGACCCAACGACTTTTTTTCTGTGACATAACTGTTCGAAGGAGAAAATATTGCCAAGAAATTTCTTGAGCTCGAGAAAGGCTTAAAATTCCTGGAAAACTTCTAGTTCTATTCGGAAAGGTATTCGGCGTTTGCTTTAAACTTATCGACGAATTTCACATTTTTTTCCCAAGATATTACCATCATTATTAAAGAAGGTCTCCTGAGAATTTCGGTATAAAGTACGGCTACTCCATATTCTCTATTTTTCGACCAGTCGACCCATCATGGTAGCTAACAGTTTCGGATGAGAGGAAAACCCTCCAAAAACTTTCGAGACGACCAACATTCCCATAAGACACTCCTGACTTAATTGGAACCATCCGGTCGTTACGTTGGGTGCCTCTGTACTGTATATCCTCAACCAAACTCATATGACGTTACTTCCACAAGCATTTGTGTAGTGGCGCCAACTTCCAATATATTTTCTTGTTATTTGACGTGTTTATAGTAAATACAGGGTCGCTTAGAGAGGATAACCTCTTTTTGTGGGGTCGGCATGTCAGTTATTTACTATAGAATCTGTTATGCCCTTTCTTAGAGAGCCAAAGAGGCCGGCTCTTTTACAACCCTCGCTTTTAACTCACGTTCAAATTGTCTCACTCGATCAGTTCGCTCTCCAGTCCAACATGCAATGTACCTTATGATATTTGTGCCGGTCCATTCAAAATCGCTCTCCTGAGGAAAAATCCTAAGGGGTTGCTGTATACACAGACACAGACTAGACAATTGTTTTTTTATCAGTTAGCAGGTACCAAAAAAAAAAACAGTGATCTTGCACAACCTGTTTTGCCTTTTGCAACATGTGGTCTAGCACATGTGTAATTCGAATAAACCTTTTAGCACACAAAGAAACCACATAATGGTCTCGCTTTTCCTTTAATTTGAATCATTAGGCTGAATAGCCTGTCTTGTGGGGAACAGGGAGATTGCTTTTCTCGAGATTCTCAGCGTATCACTCAGGAATAAACAACAAACACATATAAAGTTTAAAAGCCTTTAATTTATTTTAAAGAATGACATCAAATATATAGAAACTGACAAAAGCTGGACATTAGTTTATGAAATAGGCCACTGTCGATATATTCATTGACGTCATGTCCTGAGAACACGAGGAAGAAGAGTGATGACTTTCGTTTCTTCTGGTTTTCTTGGCCTGGCTATGAGTTTGAATAATAGCACGATATATCAAAGTGACGCCATTCATACCGAAGCCCCTACAATATTTAATCTTACCCTTGGCATTCAAAAATGTATTATTTTCATTATAAAATGAAGCACTATTGTTATGCAAATATGTAATATGTATTAAATGAATAAATGTAGTTGCATAAATGACGTTCTTGCTAGAACCATTGAAACACTCTTGCTGCTGCTCACTTCGTTCCTGGCGTATGAGCCATTAAATAAAAGAATTATATAAATTATGCAGATCGAGGAGGGGTATCGGATGAACGTCGAGGCGGATAACTTCTTCCTCGTCTCTTACCCTGATTGTGTGCCTTTAGAGGATAGTGTGTTATATATATTGACTTCCAAACCAGACTGTAGCTGCAGAAATTGTAACAAAGGTTCCTGCGTTGCTTATTGTATTGGCACCATTAGTCGGAAATTGAATGTTATTTTTTTCCGAACTGCCCTGATAATCCGAATCTTCACTTTTCATACCCAGACGTGGGTTTCCCAAGTGATCTGCTAATGACACTACTTGAAAGAACGCAAAAATCTAAACTATTATCACTATAATTATTATTCAACACCAGCAAAGGTCTCTACAATAATCAAGCTTTTTTTCTTCTACTGCCGCAATATTGTTATGGTGAACCGAAGTGCCTTTTATCACCTTATTCCTGATGTCACCTTCTTGAGTCAATAGTTCGTTTCTCCAACATGACATGACATGTTTATAGCGAGTGGCAATGTTGTAATCTAACCTAGCCGATTGAAACGTTCGTAACATTGAATTGTAGCCACGGAATTATGTGGTGGGTTAATATCTGGCGTCTGAGGAACTCTGAAGGCTATGGTCAGCCACACTATACCGGATAGTCCTTGCACCGACACGAAAATGATACCGGATTTTGCTTTTGTCAGTTCACATAAAAGAACAGTGATTTTCCGGCTATTTCTGTTAAGGAGCGAAACTGCGTTACGCCACCGCCGATCTTGAAAAGTGGATCGTCACATATCACCGGGATAGGTTTTCTGCCACTTTTCGTCGCAGTGTGAACATGTTTTCAAGTGAAATGATTAGGAGCGAGCATAGGCTGGGACCCACCTGATAAGAAAGTTTATTTTTAGGAGAGAGCACTGTGATTTAGTACACGAAACTGGCCTCTCGGCCAACCGGCCGCTCTGGTACGATGTTCGATGTGTGTGGACGACTTGTTCCAGTTCTATACGGTTGTCGCTCATACTGCCAGATACATTTTCATGTCGAGACGAGAATCTATTTCCAGTATAGTGTGGACAGACTAAAAAGTAAAAGAAACAATCTGATCTACTAACGACTTAATAGTCATTTGTTGAGAATGAACCGATTTTAGTCCCTACAATTGTTATATTACTAGTGCTATTCAGTATTTTCTCGATGTCTTTCAAACTAAATTAAATATTATTAGGTATTTTTATTGCAATAACCCATTAAACAGTTGCGCTCGTCATGTAAGTCCTGTTCCTTGGTGGACAAGGGAACTCCCATATGAAAACGACGGGGTTGCTCGTCTCTCTTAGACGTAGACATTGCAGTTTTTGGTCTCACTTTGGCTGTGCAAGACAAAAAGCCAATATTTTTAACCTTAAATGTATCACTTAACCCCCTGCAAACGGACGTAACTTTGTTGGCCAACAACTCGCAACATTGTTCAACATTGTTGGAAGTTGTTGCGTTCGTTTGCGTGTAGCTTTAGGGTTGTGCGTAAAGAAATATCTATATAGAAAAAGACGTTGTCATAATGAATCAGAGAGTGTTCTACTTTGGCTGCCATTTGTGATCGTAACTGAGGTGACTGGTAATGAATATTTCAAAACAGTGAAGATGAAAACAATGTTGTTCAGTTTATGGGTATAGTTTCTTGGTGTTGCAGACGGTTCAACTGCAATTATTAATCTACTTATCCGTCGAGCATTCCCCTATGCTTTTATATTGGAGCTTCCCCCCCCCTCCCCCCCGCTCCAAGACCCCTATAACAATCTAAAGAAAAAAAGGGTGCTTTGACAAATATTAAACCATAGAGCCCCTACACAAATTACAGCTTGGTATCTAGAGTACTAGTTTTACTGGTGTTAGTAGCGGATGCCTCACGGTAACATGGCTGGTTCTGATCCAATAGTCTGAAATAATAGTAAGGCGTATCTTCTGTCACCTTCTCTTCCAGTATCGGTATTAGTTGAGCGAATGAGGGTCGTTCATTTGGATCCTCCTTCCAGCAGTCCATCGTCAATTTGTATCTGTTGAAAAAGGAAGCCATAGTTTAAAATACCGCTACACAAAGATATGTCTCCATTTACTTTGAATATTGAAGACACTTATGTTCTATAGGCTCTTTTTAGAATGAGGTAACGTAAAGAAAAGAGGCGCGCTGCAGTTTCCACTCCTTTGAAAAGGCTGACAATTTTAGAAAAAAAAAACTGTTTGAAGGACTATGTACATTTCTTCATCGTGCCCTCTATTTAGATGTCTGTTATTATTTCTATTTTGACTTACATTTCATCGCTGCACGTGTTGGGTTTCTCCATCCGATATCCAGATTTAAGTAAGCTGCATAGCCTCATAGGGCTTATCCCAGGGTATGGAGTACCCCCTAAAATAACAAAATAAAGATCAATGCTGTCTTATCAAAGATTTTTGAGCTTTTCTTATTTTTCATTTTGAAATCGCTGGTGATCCCTGCAATCTGATTGGCTCTCAGCAGTGTGATTTATTTACGAATCACACAATCATATCTGTTCTAAATCGCGTTATTTATGTTCTAAACCACGTCGCACCGTCGCACCTTGCTTTTTATGGTATCATTTCTGTTTCGAATACAAAATGAGATGTAAAAGCCCTTTTGTTTCCGCTTTTTAACAGGCTATTTGATCTGCCCACAGGCAAGTCCTTCCTTATGTTTCTCGATCTAAGGCAAGCATCTTGACCGCTACGTAAGAGCTGTCATCCTTCACTCTATCCAGCATTCCCGCTCGAGGTCTTCCAGGTGGTCTCTTTCCTGGTATTCTTCCCTCAATAACTAATGGGACAGGATCACTATGTAGTAGGGTTTGACCAAGCCAGACTCTCTGTCTTCCGTTGATAACAGATATGATGGCCCTCTCCTCACCGACACGCCTCAAAACTTCTTCGTTACAGACTTTGTCAGACCAAGTAATGTTTAAAACCTTTCTCCAAAGCCACATCCCACAACTGTCCAGCCTTCGCACGTACTGTTTCTTTAAGGTCTATCATTCGGCTCCATTCAGAAGAGAACCCCAGATGACAGTCCTTATAATTCTCTTCTTCAGACCAAGGCTAGCGCGCTGAAGGCTTTTGTCAGCAGTTCTTTTTTCTTAGTAAACGCGTTTTCGGGCTATTCTCGATCTAATTTATTTTTCACAGGATCCATCCTGTGTAATGAGGCTCCCAAGGTAGTTAAAGTGCGACGATTCTTGGCTTAATTGTTTACCCTCAAGAAAGATCGTGAATTCCTCACCAGGCCTCTTACTGATTTTCTTCAGCTTAGTCTTCTCAACATTGATCTTCATATCATATTCCCCCGCGCTTTACTGCATTTTGCCCATCATAAGTTGCAGACCTTTAACTGAATTGGCTAAGGTTGCTTGATCATCCGCAAAGCTCACTGTCTTAATGAGATGACCTGCCACTCGAATACTTTTATTACATACATACATACCTACATACATACATACATACATACATACATACATACATACATACGTACTTTATTTGAACAGCTCCCTGTCTAGGGCTCTTCCGCCGTCAATAGTAACAACTAATTACATGAATATATCCTAATATGCTAAAAACTAAAAGTTACAAATTTAACAAATATTTACAGATTTTAGCCTTAAACTTTTTAAGATCGGAAGTTTGCTTAATCTCGTTTGGGAGGTTGTTATACAACTTTGCACCCCGAAAAGTAAATGATCGTTGCCCTGTTTTTAATCTACAAATTGGAAGGTCTAACTCTCCACTGCCTCTAGTGTTTCTGCCATGAATCTTCGAACGCTGAATAAATTTTCCAGTAAGATAGTTGGGTATCAGGCCATGAATACACTTATGAACCATTAATAAGTCGTTTACAAGCAGTCTGTCATTCACATTAAGCCAATTTAGAGATTTCAGGCCTTCCGTGATATGATCGAATTTCTTTAGGCCTAAAAGGATTCTACATGCGAAATTTTGGATTAATTGAAGTTTCTTAATGTTTTCTTTAGTCGTGTTGCTCCAAACCGTGGAGCAATAATATAACCTACTAAATATAAAAGCGTTCATCAAGAAGACAAGAGTTTTACTGTTTTATTCACACCACTTAAAGCATCTCTTAGCATGGCTTCAGAATATATGTTAACGAGTATAGGGGATAACGAGCTAACTTATCTGGTGACACGGCCAATCACTGCTGGTACGGATTGAATTCTGCGATTTCAAAATGGCTGTAATAAAGTGATAATTTCACTTCGTGACGTGCAATTTTCGTCTGAAATCATACTTCTGATCTCCATTCGAACTCGCGCTCGAAATCACGCGTATGATTTCAGACCTAATAATATACATGAAAAAATTTCTCGATTGTGATTGGCTACGAGGAATGCAGTTTTTAGGTAACACAGTGCAGAAAAAAGGTAATTGAGTGCAGAAAAGAGTAACAAACGTGACATTCTGATTGGCTAATAAACAAAGGAACTCACCGAGAGCCAATCAAATGCGTGATCTAAATGGCGCAAAATTTGGATCCGCTCCGGACCAGTTTCGAGCAAAAACCGCAATGGTTGGCGATTGCAGCACATTTACTTTTGCGACCGAAACAACTGTAGAGGAGCTGAAAAACTGCTCTAAAAACGAAAACACTGCGAAAAGCACTGGTTTTTGGCTCTCTTTTTGGAAGAATTGGTGCGTAGGTAAGGAAATTACTGATGAAATAGAAAATTATGAGCCGGCTGAGCTTTACACTTTGCCCGAGCATTTCTACGCCGAAGTAAACGATACAAAAAAGGTGAAGATTTATGAACCAAAAAGCCTTAAAGTAATGAAGGCATCGCTTGATAGACACTTAAAGAACAAACGCTGCACCCTGTCCATTATACGTGACCGAGAATTTAGTTCCTCCAAAGAGGTGTTGGAGGAAAAAGCGAAACAGCTTCGCTTGGTTGGCCGTGGTAAGCGCCCAAACAAAGCTCGGCAAGTATCAGAGGAGGAAGAAGAAATTCTCTGGAAGAGCGGAAAACTCGAGGTAATAACCCAAAATCTTTATTTCAGACACATTGAACAACTCCATGAACTGTTCAGCCCGTTTCTGAAGCTTGCAAACTTTAAAAACATCGAGCAAAATGTTGTTTTGACTGCACGTGCATGTGATGATATTTGCAGCATTTGAACAATTTATTTTTGCACGTAGTTTACGCGGGTTGACTCCCTATTAAAGAGATTTTACAGCTATCTCGCATTTTTTTATGAATATTATTAATAAGTAATCACATAATTTTTCGCGTGCAATTTGGAATAAATAAGCACTCGTAAATTTTTTCAAAGACCACAAATTGCACTCGCCCTACGGGCTCGTGCAATTTTGTTAGCCTTTGAAAAAATTTACGAGTGCTTATTTATTCCAAATTGCACTCGAAATCATGTGATTACCTGTACAAATTGCTCTCCACTCAGTTCAATGACCATCATGTATTATCAATTTACCAACCTCCAGGAGGGATTAAAATAACGTAATGTACAAATTTACCATTACTGAGTATTCATTTCTCCAAGTGACACGTGATATCAGATAAGGGTATGACTTATAGGCTGGATTATTATGAGCCTGCGCTCCTCCCCGGTAAAGACGGAGACGGCTAGGAGAGCGGCGGAAGTTAGCCTATTATTTTTTTCTAGTTGTTTAGCAATCATGACATTATATTCTCCGGTGACTGCTTTCCTAAAACTGAACAGTCAGCTTTTCCCTAACTACTGTCATTGGGGATTCCTCTCAATTCCCTCAGGTATAACAAAATGACTAGAGTATTATTCTACCAGCATCAGAAAACAAAGATTTATAAAACTAACTTACCCATGGTGGCTAGTTCCCACAAAACAACTCCAAAAGACCATCTGCATTAAAAGGAAGCAGATAAAGAAATAGCAAGAATTAAATTCATAGAAATATCAATTTTGTTTATCTCGCCTCATGGATGGTTATCCACGAAATTTTTGAGTGGAGTCATGGACTTTAAAATCTGTAATCCTGCTAACTATGAAATTCTGGAATCTAGGCCTTTTGAAGTCTGGAATACACTGAGTTGGAATCCGGAATCTAGTATCTGGAATGCGGGATGTGGAGCGTGGAATCTAGGATCCAAGATGGTCTCAGATTAACTTCAGTGGCTCAAAGATTCTGTTTATATATCTTATTTTCCAAGTTTCACGCCTGGAACAGGCTAATGTTTTCCAAACGCTTGAGTATTTCTTTAGATAGAGTGATAGCCGCTACTGTAGACAGTGTCATGATCAAAATTGTGCTCTTTTTTTTTTTTTTTTCAGACAGTTCTAAACAGTACATTGCAAGGTCTATGTTATCTAAAACCTCAACTTCACACTGCATCACGGGAAGCCTAAGCATGGCCTAACTGTGACCTCGTTAACATATACTCACACATCAGTCTTGAAAGTAAACATGCCGCTTTCCAACGCCTCAGGTGCCATCCATTTCATTGGTAGCTTGTGTACGCTCGTAACTTCGTATATTTCACTCTCATTTGCGTGGCGTAACAAACCAAAATCAGCAATCTTCACCACTCTGTCCTCACCAAGTAGGATATTACGGGCTGCCAGGTCACGATGAATGAATCCTTTGCTGGCCAAGTATTCCTGGCAGAGAAATAACGAAATTATTTTTAGTTACCAGATTCCAATATGAAATTAAAATGGAAGCTCGATTTTACGATATGGCAGGGGGATAGTAGAACAATTTTCATTGCTATGCTTCTCCTCTATGGCACACACGGGGATACTAAGATATGGGCGAAAATAATTTCCGCGTGTGCAAAGAAGTGAAGCAGAGATGAAGGTTTTCGTCGCTGAGGGGAGGAGGGAGGGGCAAAAAACGAAAGTCTGAATAGACCTCTCGGGGCATGAACGCATATGAGAGCAATCTATTGACGGTAGGGCGTATAAATACTAAGCTAAATACCCAGGGGTGCTAGAAAGGTCCCTAGAGAGAAGATATGCTAATTTAAGGAGCGCGCGAATCCATTTCGGCGCAATCATATCAATGAAGATAGTAGAACAATTTTCATTGCTATGCTGCGCCTCTATGGCACACGCGAGGATACTAAGATATGGGCGAAAATAATTTCCAACCCGAGCGCGAAATGCCGCGAATAAGCCAACGACCCCCTGAAAACGCCATATTCCTCCCAATCTCAGGTGCTCAGGCCTACGAAGAATTAAGGAAAGGCGAGGGATAGCCCCTCGAGATTATTGCGAGCGCGGAACTCGGCCCCTAATGAACCTGCGCGAGAAATACTATCTTTCCCTCTAACAGTGCCTTGGGCAAGAAGAGAAGCTGGTAGCGACAAATCCATAACTTTGGGGACTTGAGAATAATATCGAGCCATCTGGATGCTTTTCCAGCCAACATGACTAGCCACTTGGGGATCTGAGGCACCTAGAAGAGATAGAGTTATAGAACAGCCGCTCCTAAAACTGTGCATAGTTTCACCCTCATCAATATTTAACGCCGTGAGGTGAAGGCGGAGACGGTTAGCCACTGTAGAACCCACGAACGGCTTTGGAGAAACGCGACCTTTAGGGTCGGTAGCACGGAAGAGAAAACCCTCCCGAAGGTTGATGTTCATGAGGTCGGCTATCTTAATATACGTAGTGAGATTTACAACAGGGCAAACCACAGAATCCTGGGGACACCTTTTAACGGCAAATTGATTCTTGGAGTCCTTTCCACGAAGCGTCTTCCCAAACGTGTGGTGAAACAAAAGACCTTGATCGTCAGGTAGCAGGAGAACCTCTTTGGTATAAACACGACCAAGGTCAGATGCTCTGTCGTCTGAGTAGAAATCAAGACAGAAGAACGCGAGATCGCGGCTTATAATGTACCTTTCCAACGGGGATACGGATGAAAGGAACATGCGGTTACGTAAGTAGGTGCACAGCTTAGTAAACTTGTCAAAGAAAAATGGTACAGCTTGGCGAGGGGAAACTCTTACTTTAGCTTGTTCCTCGGAGATTGATACAAGGTATTTCTTAACGGACGGATGAGCCGCAGGGTTACCAGGGGACAAACCAGACCAATCACCCGTTCGACCAACGGAATTAAAAATAGCACGTAGCTTTCCAATTGTGCTATTAACTGTACCAGCGGCTAGTCTAGTGGGGCAGCGACATTTCCGTTTAGAGTGAGAGCCGAAATTAGGGCAGCTAGGCGCGTGGATCTTAGTCTTTCCCTTAGAGTCCTTCCACACGAGAAATCTAATGACATCCTTAGGGGAAGCAGAAATGGGAGACTTGGGGTTTGGAAGGGAGGATAAAAAGGACTCCAGTTCGAGATACAGACTACACTTCTGTTTCTCGTAAGGTTTGGCAGCCCTGGCTGATTGAAGAGAGGAAATTCTGCGATCGATGGCGGGCAGATCGAGGGAAACTCTGGAGGATCTTGCGGATACTGAAGGCGGAGCGGGCTGAAATCCACAGTGTTGGCAAAAGTTAAAGCCAGCGTCGTTAGCGTAAGAACAATCGGGGCACAAGGAGGCGGGCTTCCAAATGCGAGGAACGTTCACAGAGGACTGGGGAAAGGAGAAATCACAATGAGACAAACGGATTCAAATAAGTATTTTAATAGAAAAATACACAATCAAACATTGTAATGCAAATTACCAAAGGTAACACTCGGAGCGTAGGTGACAAGAAAAGGAGCACTGTCCTGTATAAAAAAAACAAGGTTTAGACAGGGCAAATTCGAAACACCCACAAATCCCATTGGAGTGGCCTAGATTCCATACCGGAAAGGGTATCAGCCGGAAAGAGCAGGATGTCGCGATCCCCTCGAGAACCAAGTTTGAACGACTCTACGCAGGAAGAAACGAGAATCGGTCACCAATATTTCCTGGGACGAAGGTCGGGGACTACAATCGTGTAGGGACAATCCTGAGATGCGAGAAATCTAATCAGGGGGCCAACAAGGATAAACGGTGGAAATACATACGCATTGTGAGAAGGAGCTATCACCTGCGAGAAAACATTTGTCCCAAGTGCCTGCGACGAGGGAGAGGGAGCGAAGAAAGGAAGTGCTCTACCGGCTAAATCTCTCTGGACATTATCAGGAGTAGCCATAAGGTCGATGGTGTGCAGGCCGAAGGTCCTTTGAATAACCTGCCAGGACGCGGGACTCAGCAAGTAGTCCAGATCTGAGGGAACTCGGGAGGGATAATCTGCTGGGTTTTCTTCAGAAGGGACGAAGTGCAAAATGACATGTAAATTAGGAGATAAAGTTAAATGGAAGATTTCTTTCAGAACGTTGTTAATGTGGGCGTTCCGAGAGCCATCGTTTTTCCAGCAAGCAACCAAGGGTGCATTATCGACGAAACAATCAACCCTAGCGTTTGAGACAAGACGAGCCACCCTTTGCAAAACGAACAGAAGGGCCAAAGCTTCCTTCACGATGATGGGAAGATCACCTTCATGGAGGTCCCAATGACCGCGAAACTCTTGTTGCGGTTGACCAGGCAAACGGAGGATGCCACCCCAGCCAGATTTTGACGAATCAGAAAAGACAGTTAACTGGAAATGCTTCTCATCCGTCCACGGTAAGAAACCGGACCACGAATCCAGGAAACGCCAATGTTCAAGTCGGAGGAAACAGGAATAGCTCTTGGGGACTTAAGTGCCTTCGACATGGCCAAACACGCCGCTCGAGAATACAACCTGGCAGCAAGGACGACAAGTGTGAAGGAGTTTATCTTTCCAACAAACTTCTGAAGGGACTTAAGAGATACCGTTTTGTGGCTAAGCAGATCTTCTCTAAGAGAGGGGAACTTAATCTTTTTTATCGAGGGGCATCAAGAACGCAGTTTTAGTAGAGTCTATGATGTACCCCAGAAAAATCGGCGTTTGCGTGGGGAGAAGGGTCGACTTTTTAAGGCCAATAAAGTACGTAGCCCAGATCAATGAGGATGCAGCAGGCGATATAAAGGGCTGCTTGAGCACGCTGAAAACCAGACCACGAATAAGGAGGAGCGGTACGCCGGATTTGAAGTTCACCAAAATGACGGTCGTCTATATATTAAGAACATGGGACGCCATGAGAACGAATGTAGCTAGTGGCGATCAAACCGATAGAATGATAAAGGTACGCGCTAGCCTTCCATCCAAAAGGGAGAGTATTAAAAACAAAGTACCATCCATTCCACTGAAGACCGAAGTACGTCCTACTGTTTGGCGAAAGACGGACATGGTCATACCCACTTTTGTCATCGCACGTGGTTTGGAAACTATTGTTATGGACGTAACGGGGGAGGTCAGTAATAAGAACCAAGGAGAACGGAAGATCTTTGATCTACAAGTTGAGAAATCTTTCATCATGGCACATGCGGGGTTTTGAAGGTTCGATGGTGATGGGCATAACCAAGTGAGGAGGAGACACTTCCCCCACCTTCCCCCAAACCGATAAAGATCCATTGGCCACTCGCTCCAGAATAGTTTTAGAGATAAATTCAGAAAAGGCTTGACAGCTTTTACTGTTGGGGAAAAACGCACGGGGGGGCTGAGGAGCCACTATAAACTTGACTTTGAAATGAACCCTCAAATTTAACGAAAAATTCTGTTGCATCCACACCAAACTCCAGGAAACGAAGGAAAGTTGATCGGACCGGGGAATCATGGAGAATCCTGGACCACATAGACAGATTATGATGGATGAAACCCGAGATAAAAAATGAGGGGTTGCAAAAACGGAGAAGACTTGGCGAGGCATGGACCTTCCCAGAGGCCACCATCTCAAGAGACGGGAGTGGACCGGCCCAGTTGGAGGGTTCCCCTTTCCAGTCACACCACATAGGAGTTGACTTAACAGATTTTTGGGCATGTTTTAACTGAAGGTCAAACGACAAGGATGACGTCTAGAAAGAGTGAAAAAATTGAAGTTACCACGAAGATAAATAGACAACTGAAAAAAGGGGAGCCACCAACCAGGCCGATCCAGGGACCCCGTCACAGACAGAGTATCGGGTATAGTTTAGAAAACCCGTCCCAGATCGACCAGATTGATAGCGGGTGTAAAAACCAAAATAAAATAACAACGCACTTAGAAGCCAAACAGGTAAACATTTATTTGGACAAAGTAGATCAGCAACATGTAAACATATCAGTTCCTAGGGCAGAATCTAGCGATATGACCCCTTTGGCGGCAACTGAAACAGGTAGGCTGCGAGGAACGTGGACGATACCGGAAATCGGGGGGCCTGCGGGAAAAAGACTGCGTAGGTGGAGGAACATGAGGCCATAACGAAGCCGACGGACGGAGAGACTTTTGAATAGCTTTTGCTACTTCAATGTCCTCCTTATCCCTAACCAACTTGAGAAGAATGCTTTGGAAGTGCGGATTGCCGAGGAGAGGGCGGCACTGACGGAGAATTGTGCTAAACCGTTTGGTTCTTGCATCCGCTTTGTCCCGAGCTAAATCCACCAAAGACTCGAGTCCTGCCAGAGCTCTATAAGGATCAAACACCGGCGGCGGCTTTGTGAGTTCCTGCTGTAGTGACAAGAGAGCCGCCGCAACAGAATGAGAGGCAGAGGACCTTTTAAGTTCCAGTAGCTCATTTTGGAGTTCTCTAACGGTCATCTAAGCCTAACGAAAGAGTTTTAAAATAAAATTAAGACTGGCGAACAATATAACCAACCACAAGAAACTTGATCATAAAATTATGAAACGTGCAGTCGTGCGAATGCAATCAATTGGCCCTACAAAAGAAACTATAGTAGAAAACAACAACTCAAGCATATTAAGGCATGGCCTGAGGCTAATTTGCATAAAAACCTGTAAAGGTGATAACTTTGTGAAAATTTATCAGAACCTTCCAAAATTTGGCAACCTCGGAAAAGTCCGGTAACCTTAATTTTCCTGTAACGTAAGAAATAGATATCTGTGTAAGGTGACCACTTATTGTCGAGTCCAGGAAAGAAAAGAAAACTAAAAATGGGGTAGCGAAATGGCACACAACATATATGAAATACAGCATTTTTACTATTGTATCATCATTTCTCGCTTGAATCTGGCTGGAATGGTTGACTCCCGTGGTAATTGAATTAGTAATAAAGCAAAATAGGTCACTTGACGCTATTCACCTGTTAATATCTTTTAAAGAAATTAAAATTCTCCCGTTCCGGCCGTGGAAAAAATTCGTACTGTAAAACAAACATTTAGACATGGTTTAAACTGAGTTGTAATCAACTATTCCTACTCCATTTTGATTTTCTTTTGAATATCATTATCACGTCACGTTAACGTGACCACATCACTTTAACCCTAATTAATTCAACGCTTTGAAAGAAAGTTTCTGGAAAGTTTTTTGCAACTTGTAGAACTAAAAATGCGTGGCCGTAGCAGAAAAACAAGTTTGTCTTCGCCGGGGGTCGAGACCAAAAACTGAGCCATGCCTTAACATGCTTAAGAGCAAAGCGTACTACACACAAAGATAAACGAAGAAAAACAGAGAGGAAAATCTCTCTGACTGTAACCCGTTGAGAGAGATAAAATACGAGCGTAAACAAACGTTCAAGGCGGTAGATTCCAGAACATTATATAAGAAGAATGCAGAAAAACACGTACGATGGAGTATGAAAATGACATATAAACAGAAAAAGGAACAAGATGACACGCTAACAGCGAAGAAACCCATCAAAGCAACTCGCCATGAATACTAACCTAAAAAGGCCACACTTTTAAAATAAGACCGGCGTTAGACAACGACCGACGACACGGGGCAAACATGAAAAAACTAAAGATAACGA